TTTTGTCAAAATTTAGGGGAAAAGAGGAAGAATCCTCCTTCTTTTCTTGAGAAAATCCAAGTTTTAAATATATACATCAAGCGGACATAAAAAATTATAAGTTTGTCTGATTTTTGAAATGAATATTTTTCTATCTTTTTTTTTATGACATAAAAATTTATAGTATTTATCCCCCTATTTTTCTTTTATAATATATAGCGTTGATAACGTATTTATAAAATACAGAATCCTCAAATATATCCTTATAAATAATACATTAAAATCTATTACAACCATATTTGATATGTGTACAAGTGATATTTGTACCAGAAATAATGTCGTCCATCTGGAGCAACGCGGCCTCCAGCATCTTGCTGGCCTCGTTCGAACTCTTTCCCAGGAATGTCGATTCGCCCGCCTGCGCCGTCGTGCCGTTTCTCTCCTCACCTTTGCCCATCACTTAACGCTGCAAGAAGAAAATTATCATTCTTAACTATTGATATTTTCGCTGCGAATAATATTTTTCCAACATGCAAAATCCTTCTAAATCCTTCTAAAACTCGATATCTCTATGAATGGAAATATTTGCTGGATGTTACACGCGAAACGACATGAAAGCTCGACCGTTGATTCATAGGCTTTCCAGACGATGTAAGTGCAACGTCGCGAGGTGCGATGCACTGTAGATATAATTGTGCGACGTTCAGGACTGTTCCATTTAGTCAATAGCATGCGGGTGAGAGAAATTACACAAATAGATTCTAAATTATGTACTCACATTTTTTTATAATTTTGTTCTCATAACACTTTAAAATTGCAATTATACCTAATAAAAACGAGATATTTGCTCGAGAAAAATTTATTTAAATAATTTCGAATTGTATTCTATTATATTGTTTTTAATTTTAAATTAATTTATAGCGGAAAATATTTGCAGCAAATTAAAGCAAAAACTACAGTTCATGAAAGTGGCTTTATAACTTTATTGTTTGTTATATAATTTTTTTAGAGGTATCTGTAGCAGACAACTGTATAATAAAAAAGAAGGAATAGTTTTTCTTAAACTGTAACAAAATCGTAAATTTCTAAAACAATTATTTGCGAAGATATTTTCAATTTGTGGACATTTTCTAAATTCATTTGCGAGTTATATGTATATCGACGATGACCTTAAAGTTTTTTAAAAATGAACACAATCATCTCTAAAATTTAGACATCTCAATCATAAATAAAAAAACCAACATAATTCTAGCCAAAAATAGAGATATATCGTTTACATCGAGCTCAGAATCCGTCAAAAAGCACTTAACATATGTAAAATGAACATAAATTCTTATCAGTGATAAAGCACATGAATTCGATAATCGATCGCAAAAAAAAAAAAGATAAAGTGAGATATATGAGGACCGCAAGACAGACAGAGAGAGAGAGAGAGAGAGAGAGAGAGAGAGAGAGAGAGAGAGAGAGAGAGATTGAATGTCACGAGACGATCACTCAGATCTTTACCATAGCATCTCATGATAAAAATGATCACCGAAGCTCACAGATTATAATAAAATAATGACAATCGCACAAAGAGATAACACGCATGCAAACGACGATCAACAGGTACTGAAGAGCAACGCCCAACATTCTGCCACCATACATATACCATGTCACTGTCTCTATCTGTCTTTCTTTCTCTCTCACTCTTCTCTCTCTTTTTCTCCGTCTTCGTTAATTCTTCTTCACGAGCGCAGCTGCATCAAGCTTAAATAAATCATTTCGCGCGTTTACAAATTATTTATGTGCTCTCTTGGAGCTCATTTATAAATTAATATATTAGATAAATGCATTCAGATAGCCAAATCTGTTAAAAATAGATGTTACAAAGTACCCATCGTTTGTTTTGTAAGCAGAATGTCAACAGAAATATAATCTATTAAACGCAATGGCACTGCAGAAACCGAGCAGAGTTTGCTGTTTTGTAATTTTATGATACATTTAATTAAATGATCATAAAATGATAGATTCTGCTTGGTTTTTGTTGACAATCTGCTCAGATTGTTGACAGGTTCGAACTCCAATCTGCTAGCAAACAGACTGTTCTCTTTCCATATTTCAAGTCTGAATTTCTTACATAGTTCATGTTTTGTCTTTTTTTCTCTAATATAAAAAGAAACAAAGCTGGCAAGAAGTTCTAGAATATGGAAACAGAACAGATCTATTATCTGGCATACTTAACATTTTACTTAATACACAGAGTAACTATTAAGTACTCTAAGAGATTTTAATTGTTTATACTAATTCAAGAAAACTTCATATGATCATATATCCGAAATAACTTTCAATTTAGGTGTCAGAGTCAAAGGTAAAATTTGATTTTTTCTAAAAATTTTAGAAATCTTTCAAATTATTGTAATGGAACTTCAGATATATATATAAAGTTTTAGCAAAATAATTCGAATGGTTTTCGGAATTTTTGAAAAAAAACCAAATTTTTCCCTCAACTTTGACATCTCTTGTATCTCTGAAACTAAGTCGTTTCGAATATATGACCATATGAAGTTTTCATCTTGGATTTTTTATGTATGAGTCATCCCTTAAAATCATTTAGATATAATAGCCACCCTGCACACCCTAACAGGTGAGTCAATAATCTTAATTTTGTTCCAAAATATCAAGATATACATTAAGGTTACTTATTGATTTATTCATTACATTACATTTACACAGTGCATATTACATCGTCATTAACACAATTATATACGAAATAGATGCGAAGAAGAGCAATTCCTTAATTTCTTTACTTGTCTCTCTACCATTTATCAATTTATCATAATATATTTTCAAGAAATTAATAAGGACATAATGTATCGGGGGGGCATGAGGATAGAAATTATGACGTCTCAGAATTGCAAATTACCTGTTTACGTCAGTCGGGATCCGTCGACTTGCGGATGTTGGCCGCATGTACGATAAGCATCGGTGACACTGAAATACGAAATTCGTGAAACGATAATCAATCCAACGTCACAACGACGATTCTCATTGTCTGCAACGAGGCATAACGGAATTCCAGTCGAGTCTCGCGAGAAATCAACAAACAACGTAGTGCAACGGAGCGCAGTGAAGTGCACCGCGAACGCGAGTCGGAATTGTTGGAAATGAGGTGAGGTTAGGTTGGACCGGAGTCGCACTTCACGGAATCGATACGATACGCGACGAGATCCGCGCGTTATCGAGAAACCACTTGATACTGGATATCATTCACTCAATGATATTAAAAGGAAATTGAGTTGCTTTTGATGACATCATTTTCACTCCATCTTCACGTTCCTGAGTTAAAATTTACGAGGGTGTTTAATAATTAGGATTTAGTGCCTTCAATCTCGTCTTGAAGATGCTTTTTAGCAAGAGTCAAGAGTCAGATACATTAATATAGACACAATGTAACACAGTGAATTATTTATCTCTTATTATTTAACTCTTGTTATTAAATATTAAACAAAACTTGAAGATTATGGGTTTTCCAACAAGAGACACAGAAGACAGTTGTAAATGAACCATTACCTTGTTGTTTGCCAATGTTAAATAAAAATGAACTGATTACTGTGTTATATATCTCTTGTTGGAAAGCCATAAATGATCACTATAAACTTTCTCCTACTGGAAAGAATCCGTCATATTACATATATGAGAGCGTCATATTACATATATGACGCTCAGATAGGATTCTTGATATTACATTCCTTTCAAATCATTTTAGATCAACTTAATATAATTGTAAATAATTCCAATTTTGTCCCAGTGATCTTTCTTGATTAAATATCTATTTTTTTTATTCTTGAATTATTGTATACTTCTTAGATTTCAAGTAAAAAAAGTATATATATATATGTTAGTTCAGTATTTAATAAAAGCGAGAAGAAAGTTAAGAAAATTCTAGTGCAGCATGATGCAGCAGTAAAAACAAACTTATGTAATAATTCACATAGATGGATTAGATGAATGAATGAATAGATAAATAGATAAATAGCTTTATTTATCTTGCTCCAGGATTAATCCTTTCAACGCTCAAGCAAATAAGCATAACAATGTGCTAAACACATTTACAATAATAAATCAATAACACTACGAAATAATAAGAAAATTACAAAAGAAAAATGACTATATAAAAAAAATATGTTAGGGAACAGCAGCTTGTAAATCGAGGAAATATCCGAAATATCCAGGAACATTCACCATTTATTGCACGTAAACACGTCGTACGATGGGTGAGATAACGACATATGACGTTTGACAAATCAGAAGTTGAAATACGCGCGTGATACCATGATACCAACCTCGGATCACGCGATGAGGTTAAGTTCGCGCGAAGGAGTGCGGCGCGCGACTTCGATCGCGAGGTCGGCGTGAACTGTGAAGTTCGCCGAGCTTCGCGCGTCGCGATTCCCGCATCGGCATCGGCGCGATATTAGGATATCACGCGGTATCCGTCAATCGAGTTACGGAGCGGATCGCGTCATCGTGGTAGACGTCGGCAAGGCGGTTGGCAGCAGTGTCAATATCGGTGAGCGCGAGAGAAGTGCCGTACGGACACTCGCGCTTCCGTTACATTTTATTTGTGTGTGGTCGTGCGTGGGTATCGCGGGGAGGAAACGGAGGAGAGAAAGAGAGAAAGAGAGAGAAAGAAAAAGATAGAGTGAGAAGAAGAAAAATAAAAGTGTCGGGGAGATGCGTGTGTTGCGGCAGCGATCGAGCGATCGTGAGACGTGAGTGTCGGGCGGCGCGCGAGGACGAGCGAAATTCCGTCGTGGCGTCGAGGAAGGTGCGGAAGGTGCACCCGCGGTCCCGATCCCCCCCGTGGAATGTGAGTAAGTGGCACGCAAAACCGAAAGCGAGAGAAGTGTCCCCCCGTCTCCGTCCCATTCGTTCGTTCATTCGTCCTTTCCCCCTTTTGGTCCACCCCTTCCTCTCATTCGCCAATCGTTTTTTTTCTCTCGTCTCCTCTGCCGTCGCGCGCGCGACCGCCAGAGACTTTCCGCGGAAAAGCCGCGAAAACTACGTCACGAGTGACGGATTCGGTCGAAACTGGGACAAAGTGCAGTGCACTCTGGCATTGCGCTTTACCACCAGGTGTTTCTATGCCGTAATCTTCCCAGGATTGGGTAACACTCGTACCGTTGCACCTTGCTCTCTCTCGGACACCCTTCTCGGAGTCGCGTATTCACGCGCGAGCTCTCTCTCTCCCTCTCTGTCTCTCTCTCTCTCTCTTTCGCGCGGAGTATCTCGCAAAAATCCGCACGGTTGACAGCGCCTGACAGAGAGATATACGGGTATCGGAGCCGCCGGAGAGAGAGCTGACAGGTAAAGTGGCATCGAGCGCGCGACGGCGCGAGATGCGAGCAGACGCGAGCTCGCGCGTAACGTCACGGTGATCGACGGTGTTAAATGGTGAGACTCTCTCTCTTTCTCTCTCTCTCTTTCTCTCTCTCTCTCTCTCTCTCTCGCGCAAGACGCGCGATTTCGTTTCTCCAAGGATTCGCGATGTCGACGAGAGGTTCGTTCGCACCCTCGCTATGCACGAGCGAGCGAACGATTGCTAGTTCTACGTAGCGATTAACGAAACGCGTTCCTACATCGCGCTTCGAAATTTCGCGACGTGTCCGCGAACGTGGTGACGACGAACGGGTTGACGCTATGTAGGGCACGACAATATCGGGTCGGGTGCCTCCCGTTCGCTCGACACGGCGAAATATGGAACGCGAAGTGTGTCAGATGATCGATCCTTTCTTGCAGTTCCTTGATAATGCTTCTCGGTTTTCGAAAAGTTAACGAAAGACTGTGTGATTCGTTTAAAAAGATACGGTTGTATTTAAATGGGTGAATGGACGATGATCGATGATTTGATGTTTTTGACGTTTAGGACTCTCGGAGTTGTTATGTGAATTCAATGGGTAGCTGCTCATGTTTGATGCTTAAGAATAAACTTGATTAATCCAAGTCGTGATTAATTTGTCGTCTTAGGTTAGATGACGGACTCAAGATAGTCCTTCCGCCTGGTAACATGTCAGATGGGGTTGATGGTGGTGGTGGGGAAAACGAGGTAGACTCCCATTCCTCTTCGCAAGCCGAAGCTGGGGACTCTTCTAATCACAGGGAAGAAGAGACATTGGATCCTGATAACGAAGCAGCTCTCAATACAAATTATGACAGTAGCGATGGAGCTGTTCCTGCGTTTAGGTGAGATTCAAAACACTTTATTGTGTAATTAATCTTAAAGTTTATTTTGCAACCGTTGAGACTTTTTTTCACTGCGATAGGACTATTTCTCTAGATCTAAATATATAATCTAATTAATACAAAGAAAACTTACAACAGTTGTAAAATAAACATTCTGTTGAATGTAGTTATAGTTGCATTCAACAGAGAAAGCAGTTTTGCAACTGTTACAAAGTAATTCTTTGATGTGATTGATCTGGCCCTTAATTTCTCATTGGATCTAAATAAACCAATCACATTAAAGAATTATACAGTTGCTTTTGCTATCATTATCAAGCGATAGTTGCAATCAGCTGATTAGAACGATTTCTATTTTGATTCCATTTCTTGATTATATATCCAATTTCTTTAATTTCTTTAATTTTAATAGATGTGATAGATGTGACAATTATGAGACTATAAATAAAACGGCTTTCTCCGCTCACCAAGATCAATGCCTGGCGAGTGGTGAAGCTGGAGAAAGCGCTGAAGGCATAGAAGGAACAGAAAATGATGGGGATGCGGAAGAGGGCCATTCGGGAATCAGGTCTCACAGAAAGATGTTTGAATGTGATGTCTGTAATATGAAATTTTCAAATGGAGCTAATATGAGAAGACACAAAGTGAGTATAGAAAAGTTATACAATAAAAAGATTTATGTTGATGTTTCTATGATACATTACACATTTAACACTGAAAGATCGAGCGGTCATTGTTGATTATTTCTATTTTTTAAATTAATATTATATTAAATTAATTTGTATTTCTTATATAAGAGATAGGACTTTGAAATTTTTTGACTTTTCAATAATTATATCTTTTATACTGATGAAATATTTGATGTTTTATTACTTTTTTTATTTTTATAGTAATTTATACACTTGATTCTTTTTTTAGTGAGTAAGACATGTTATGTGCAGTATTATTTAAACATCAACAAAAATAAATAGAATTTTTAGATTTAGAGTGATGGGCAACCTTTTATAAGAGCCACTTTCAGAAATAAGTAAAATCTTGCTGATTATATAATATGTATTTTATTTGCATAAAATAGAAGGTATGATTTTATATTTTCGGCTATGTGAGTCGCAAAAAATTCACAGGCGAGCTTCAGGTTGCGCATCACTGCTATAGACGATAGTGTAAATATAATCCTTTTGAATTATATACTCTTATTCTCTTAAATAATTATTCTTTATACTGAATAAATATAGTTATCTATGAATGTTTAATCTATTGCATCCCCTTCTATCTCTTAGATGAGGCATACAGGCGTAAAACCATACGAATGTCGAGTATGTCAGAAGAGATTCTTTCGGAAGGACCATCTTGCGGAACACTTTACGACACATTCAAAAACTTTGCCATACCATTGCCCGATATGTAACCGAGGTTTCCAAAGACAAATTGCGATGCGTGCTCACTTTCAGAATGAACACGTCGGTCAGCACGATATGGTTAAATCGTGTCCTCTCTGCAATTATCGTGCAGCTACCATGAAATGTCTTAGGTTGCACTTCTTTAATAGGTAAGTGCTTGAATTATTTAGGAAAGTGTCATTGCTCTCTCATATATCTTATATATCTTATTATTTGTAGACATGGAATAGATTTAGATAATCCAGGACCAAATAGCTCTACATCCATAATGAATAGTTGCACATCCGGGGAGGCGATGCCTTCGGCACCTTTGTCTGATAGCGGAGATAGTACTGGCAACCGTTCGACCGACAACGCCACGCCCCCCATGCATTTCCTCACGCCCCACGTGGAGATATCCATTCCTTACCCTGAACAAGCTGCCAATCAACGAAATCCAAGTCCTGCCCCGTTGAACGGAGACAGTCCCAATAGTCCTCAGAGCGCCGACAGCAATAGCAATGCACCAAGCAGTAGTCATCATCAATTATCTATCAATAGCAGTACCATTCATAGGTGAGCAAAAAAATTACTAAATTAGTTTATCAAATTTATTAATATTTATTGCAATGATTTTTTTAATTGTTAAAAATTATTACAAATTCTTTATTAGAAATTTGTATAATCTTTATATAATTTTTTATCTTTATTAACTTCGATTTGACTGATAAATTATGTGTGCTTATAGTTTAAATATTAATTTAGAAATGCCGACAATTAATTATGTTCTAAATGACATAAATTACAGATCGGATTTTCACATTTTTCTCAGGAACGTAGGCGGAGGCGATGAAGCTATTACACCTTCGATTTCCTTAATACCCATCAAGCAAGAGCCAAACAGCAATGGTATGGATGATAGTGGAGCGACATCGAGCAATCTACCGTTACCATCGCTGATCAAGGTGTCGCCGTTAAAATCGTTGCTGCGCGATGATCTTCGCCGTAAGCTTTCCACCAGTACCACTAATAACAACAATAACAGTAGTAACAACAGCGGTTGCGGTGGCGGCGTTAATTCTAATCCACACTCGAGGGGCGAGCCACCCACTTCGACCAGGCCGGATCCTCGTACGAGCGGCCTCCAGTGCACTCACTGTCGCATTACGTTTCCGGATCAGACGTTGTACTTCCTTCATAAAGGTTGTCACAGCGAAAGTAACCCATGGAAGTGCAATATTTGCGGGGAGCAGTGCTGCAATCTGTACCAGTTCAACTCGCATTTACTGAGTAAGAGTCATCAGTAACTGAGAGAAGAAAGCAGAAAAATACCCGCAGTTAAGAAATTCGTTTTTCCTTTTCCTATTTCTTCTACTTCTTTTCTTTTCCTTCTTCGTTAAACGAAACAAAATGGCAGGAGATTCGGTATGTATGTATGTCTAACATACGTTCAGTGTTCATTAGCATGAAGGTATAAATATTTTCTGCGACGTATCCAGACATACTTCTCGCTAAAATATACTTTTAGAAACGCATAAGAATGCGCCGAAACATAACGGTAAATCAGTTGTAAATTGAATTGTAAATTATTTTTAAGAATTCGAGAGAGGATATGTCTGTTCCCTCAGAAAATAATGTACAAAGCGCGACAAATTGTGCCTTTCCTTTAAAAAGAGAAAAAGGGAGAGAAAATTGTGAGAAAAAAGAAATTGCCAACATACTCGTCCATCATGCTGTTATATTGTATGAACTATCCGTCCATAGGGCTTTATCGAGATATATTCCGAGCTCTATCATTAGTCTTAAATTAGTAAAGTAAATATAGAAATGCGACGGGGTACGTTGCGAATTGCCCTGTCAATTGTGAAAAGTAAAAAAATATATATATATATATATAGCTATGTTGTGCTTTTATCGCAAAAAAAGCGACATTAAAATTTCATGTATTGGGTCGGAACAAAAGTTTCATAGAGCTACGAATTTCAGTTGTTTAAATGTTAAAAATTACTAAAATTTAAATAAAAAAAAAGAGTTTTAAAACTTAAAATCTCTTTCGAAAGGTGTCTTTTAAGTTTGATAATTTTTTGCAAAATAGGAAATTTCTTATTTTGTAGGCCTCGCATGTGCCCAAAAAAAACTTGCAAAAATTTTTGACTTTCTAACAAGCTTACAATTTTATAACAAAATCATTTATTAAAAATATTCGTAAAATTTGTTGGTACTGAGTTATCACGGATTAAAATGCTCATAATTCCGTTTAAAAATCATCAAACCGCAATTCAAAAAATAGATTTTTAAAACTTTGCTCTATCGAATGATATTTAATTGCCAAAAATTTTTTAAAAAACATATGATATAAATAAAATAATATGCTACGAACTTTTGTTTTAACCTGATAAATAGATAGAAACTATTTAGTTGACATTGTGCAGTTTGGATGATAGAGGCAAGGCGCGGATATAATCCATCAGAAGTTTATTTTGTAGATTGAGGGAGAGAGAAGGAAAGAAACGCATTTATATTATTGTTTTAAGGCCAAGCCCTCTAAAGACAAAGAAAAATTGTGCAAAATATGTAGAAGAAAAAGAAAGTATGTATATCTTTTGTTTTTGAATGTTTAAGACCTATGCGCGTAGAATTTATATAGTAGAAGAGCAATATCACGAATTATCGAACAATTATTTATCCTTTAATAATTCCGCGATGTGGATTTTTACACGGATTCGAGAAGCAGCTCTATCGAGATTGTACAAATTTGAAGGATACGAAACGTCACGTTCGTCGAAAGAATGTCGGCGCGACGCGTCGACACACATGGATACCGTTGTATTGCGACGCGACAGGTATTGCCGCGAGTTCCATCTATTCTTCTTTCTCCTTTAGATAGGAACGTTGCGTCGCAATGAGAAACCAGTGCAAAACCGCGAAGCGAGGATGTACAGGACACAAAAGCTAGCCGGGCGTGCGTTATTAATTATTAATATGACAGGGAGCAAGTTCGAGAGGTGTGACTTTTTAGCCGAAGGCTCGTACCGGGCAGGTATCTCGATCCGTTCGCTTTGGCTGGAGTCGCCTCTCTCCTCCTTTCTCGCCTTTGATTCGATAAATATTTTATATATAAATATTTGTACAGAGAGAAAAAGAGTATTAGGGAAGAAAAAAAGCACGAAAGGAAGAACATTGAGATAGCGTGTGTATGTGTGTATATATATATATATATATATATATATATATAAAATATATATATACACATATA